TGGAACTTACTAAACCAAGCCCGAGGTGATTGTTTCAACCCATATAAAGATTTTTTAACCTGCACACCTTTTGTTCACTGCCTTTGGCATAAAAACCTGGAGGTTGGGTCATGTACACTTCCTCTTCCAAGTCACCATTCAAGAAAGCATTTTTTATGTCTAATTGGTGAAGTTCCCAACCAAGAATTGTTGCCAATGAAAGAAGAATCCTGATAGAATTCATCTTGGCTACTAGAGCAAGTCTCTGCATAGTCCACTCCATATACCTGTGTAAAACCTCTTGCTACCAGTCTAGCCTTGTACCTTTCAACAGTTCCATCAACCTTGTGTTTCATTGTGAACACCCACTTGCAACCCACTGGTTCCTTCACTTCAGGAAGATCCACCAACTCCCAAGTGCCATTTTTGTGTAATGCATCAATTTCTTCCTGCATTGCATCTATCCATTCAGGTTTAGATAAAACTTCTGCCACATTCTTAGGAACGGGGACACTGTCCACAGAAGAGAGGAATGCACAGAATGAAGGTGAAATGGGATCATAGGACACAAAATTAGAGATAGGATGATTAGTGGTACAAGATCTAACAGCCTTTCTCTTAGCAATAGGAACATCAAGATCATTGATGACAGAGGAATCAACATTGAGAGGAACAGGCATATCAATAGGAGCAAGTGTACCTGGCTGATGAGACGGATCTACCTCTGGCGAATCCAATGATGTTGGTTGCATAGTGCCAGGTTCCACGGCTCTTGAACTCTACTGGCTTTTATGGCGACAATGAAAGACACAAAATGGAGGAGGATCGGGTAAAGGAAGTAGTTGAGTTTGAGCCGCCTGTTTCTCCTCAACCCTACTCTCCCCCTGAGGAGAAACCAAGAAAAATGTTGATTCTCAAAGAAGGATACATCAATGGAGACATAGTACTTGCGAGAGGTAGGATCATAGCAACGATATCCCTTTTGAGATAAAGGGTAACCAAGGAAAACACAAGGAATAGCCTGA